GGGGCCGAGGCAGCCCCAGGACCGCCGTCCAAAGCACCCGGCGCACCACCTCCAGAGTCAGCACCACCAATAGCAACACGGCCAGGCTCACGAGGACCCGTAAGGAGAGCACCCGCACCCCCAGACATAGCACCCCCAGGGTCAGCTCGACCAACACCAGCTCCCGGAAGACGAGAGTCGCCTGCAGCCATGGGCTCAGCTCCAACTCCAGCACCCCCAAAACCAGAACCCGGCACAGGGACGCTCTCAGCACGAACTCCAACTCCTCTAGAGCTAGCACCTGCAGGGTCCTCTCCACGAACACCGGCTCCCGTAGGGTCTGCAGTAGGCTGCGAGGAGGACTGCGGGGAAGGCGGCCGCACCTGAGGGGCTACCAAGGGGGGAGGGGTAGCGTGGGACACACCTGACGGGGCTGGACCAGGGGGGGGAGGCTGTACCGGGGGAGCAGGAGGGGGAGCGGAAGTCAGGAAGAGAGGGGGAGGAGGAACCGGGAGACCTCGGCAGGGGTACCTAACGTAGTAGGGGACGGACTCGACAAAACTGACATCACGGGAGTCAAAGAACCGGTGAAGGGGAGGGTGGAAAAAGGTGAAGTCAGAGGAGTCCTTTGGGAACCCAAGGAAGATACAGGGAACGGTGCGAGGCAAGATCTTGTCCGCGGAGGTGTCGCGAACAAGAGCCAAGCAACCCCAGACACGAAACCGCGACGCAACACCAGGAGACCCGGTCCAAAGACTAGTCGGTGAAACCTCTGGCTGAGAGACACGTGGCCAGAGGTTCAGCTGGTGAGCGGCATACCTAACCGCGTAGGGCCACAGAAAATGGGGGGCACGGGCGTGAGTCAAGGAGGTGCGGGCGATCTCCATGACCAAGCCTATGCGGCGCTCAGCAACCCCATTCTGCAATGGGGACTCTGGAAGCGTCCAGGACTGACGAATGCCCTGTTCGCGACAGAATCCAGCGAGAACGCCGGAGCGAAGCTCACCCCCGCGGTCGGAGTGAAGACAGCTGACACGACGACCACGAGTGTCCTTTGTGGTAAGCAACCACCTGATCAGCGTAGAAGTCACCTCATACTTCTTCGCCAGGGGAAACACTGTGGTGTAGCGGGAGTAGTCGTCAACAACCACCAGAAAGAAACGCTCACGCTCAGGGCCAAGGCGAGTGGCGGGGCTCCAGACGTCCAAGTGGAGCGTCTCAAAAGGCTCGGTGGCCGGACGAAGGGAGGAAGAGTGAAGGGTGGCGCACAGCCGACCCTCGACGCAGGGACCGCACGGTGGTGCAAGCGAAGGCGGCAGCGACGGCAAGACACGCGGGAGGCCTAAGACAAGACGCTGACTAGACATAGCGCACAGACGAGGAAGGGACAGGTGCCCCATCCGGTGGTGCCACAGAACCGTGGGGTGGGCAAGCGACCGGCAGGAGCAAGACGCAGCAACTGGACCAAAGACGGCAACCTGACCAGACATAGCTACCTGGGGGGACGCGGCAACCTGGTGAGACGCAGGGACTAGACGGGGGGCAGGGACAGGGGTCGGGGGCAGTAGCCGCTGTTGCACACGGGGGCCAGTGTGAAGTGTGTAGAGACCAGAGCCCGGCTCAGCGGTAAAGGTGGCGAGAGGTGCGTACGTGTCCCCGTCAACACAAACTGTAGTCTCGCCAGAAGTCTCAATCCACACACCCACGTGCTGACTCACGAGCGGCCTCACGCCCACCAAGTTCCTCGAGAACGAGGGGATGTGGAAGCCGGTCAGAGAACCGGAGGGAAGTAGTGTAGCGAGCAGTGACTAGTCCCGAAGTGGGATCAGCCAGTGCTACAGAGACTGGCGTGGGAAGCGGGGTAAGTGTCGTGCGGTCGCGGAAGAATCAGTGCGAAGCCGGGGAGTCCAGAGTGAAAGAAAGCGAAGCGTCCTTCGGAGCAGCTCCTGGACTAGTGTCTACACAAGTACCTACACTAGCAACAGGCAGCTCAGCAAGTCTAGCACCTAAGCTAACAACAATCGAGTAAACAGAGTCACAAGCACTAGAGTCAACAATAGCATACATAGCATGAGGAGTTCCTAAGAGATCAACCAGCTAAGAAGTCGACATGCCCCACAAAGCGGGGCCGTACGTCTGAACAACGGGAAGCCAGTCAGGGGCAGGGCCGCCAACGCCGTAGGCCAAACGAACCGTGTCAGTAAGCTGAGCAAAGCACTGACCCGGTGTGTGGCTGCGGCCACAAGGCTGGCCTCGGCGAGCACTTGTCAGAACGTGATAGGTGCAGGGAGGGTGGACGACACCGCGTTGCAGCTGACGCTGTCCTGACCCCTGCACCGAAACCTGCTGCTGCCACTGCTGCTGCTGTGGCTGCTGTGAGGAGGGGGGCTGCAGCTGCTGCTGGTGCCGAGTCATGTACCACGCCGCTGCTCCACCCCCTGCGTCTGGCAGACCTATAGGTGGCTGACGAACCTGGGCGTCACCTCCACCAGCCGCTGCAGTGGAGTCACCGGCCGCTGCACAAGGAGCTCCTCCAGCCCCTGCACTCCCACGCCGCCGCTCACCACGTCACCCCCGCTGCCTCCGCCGCCTCCGCCCGCACCCTGACCACCCCTCCTACCACTCCTACCCCGAGACCGCGAAGAAGTCGTAACAGCAGCTGCGGTCACGTCAGTAGCGGCAGTGGCGAGGGAGGCAGTAAAGGTGGGCAGCTGAGGGACAGTGCACCCGTGAAACAGTGGAGGGGGCACAGCACCAGAGGCGGAGGCTACGGAGCGGAGGTTGCTCTCGACGTCCTTGAGCGCAGACTCAAGGACCCCGATAGTGAGCTCACTAGGGTGCTTTAGAAGAAGTGCGTCACGAACCGAGGCAAGGCGGTCAGGGAGGCTAGTGGCGATGAAATAAATAGTAATCGCCATGGGGGGAGGAAGCAGTGCAAGCTGTGCGTCAGTGCAAGCAGCGCGGTAGCTAGAATCGAGCGAGCGGAGGTGAGTAATCAAGTCAGCAGTGTGCTCAAACGAGGCGAGGTCAGGAAACAGGAACGGAAGAAACAGGCGACCAAGAGAGACAGTGGTGGGAGTAGCGTAGCGGGCCTTGATCGCAGTCAGGAACTCACTAGCCGTGCGAACCTGAGTAAAGTGGGTCTCATCAGACTCAGGGAGGAGGCTGCTAAGGGCGATGCAGGCCGCAGCATCACGCGACTTCCATGCCGTCACGTCAGCACGCTCACGTGCATAACGATCTCTAGCTGCGTCGTCGGGGGCAGTGCCTAAAGGCGTAGGGCCGTCGGGCGCAGGAAGGACACCGGAAGCGTGCGTCCACAGAGACTTGCCTGCCTGGACCTGACTCTTGAGGAGGCGCTGCGCACGCAGGAGCCAGACAGAAAACTCGAACGGCCTACCGTCGGCGTCAAAGCGCAGTACCCTAGGGGTCGCCATAGCTATAGCGAGCGGGTGGAACTGTCACTGCTGAAACCCTAAACTCTGAAGGAGCCTGAGAAGGGTATGACAGGTAGTGCAAGAAGCTCAGTGCACTATAGGACGTTAGGGTAGGGTGCGGTAAGAAGGATAGGCAGCACGGGGCGACGGGCGCGGCTCGGCTGGACGGGACGGGCAGGAAGGCGCGGCTCGGCAGGACAGGGTGGCGCGGCGCGGCGGGACGGGCTGGGCACCGCGCAACGGGACGGGCTGGCGCGGCGTGGCGAGACGGGCTGGCGCGGCGCTGGCGACGCGATGGGCTGGGCGCACACGGCGCGACGGACGGGACGGACGGGGGGGAGCGCGACGGACGGGACGGACTGGGGGGAGCGCGACGGACGGGACGGACTGGGGGGAGCGCGACGGACGGGACGGACAGGGGGGAGCGCGACGGATGGGATGGACAGGGGGGAGCGCGACGGACGGGACGGACTGGGGGGAGAGCGACGGACGGGACGGACAGGGGGGAGCGCGACGCGACGGACGGGACGGGCCAAGGGGGGAGGGGGGGGGGGGGGGGGGGGCGGCGACGCGACGGACGAACGCGACAGACGGACGCGACGGACGGGACGCGACAGACGGGACGGACGGGACGGGCGCGACGCGACCGGCAGGGCGCACGGAGCGCGACGGACGGACAGGGCGCAGCGGGGGGCGCGACGGTAGGAACGGGACGCGATGCGCAGGACGGGGCGTGCGGGACGAGCGGAACGCGCGACGGGCGGCGCAGCAGGCGCTAGGGCACGTGAGAGACGAGCGCGAGAGGCGCTAAGGGACAGTACGGGCGTGACTAGCATTAAGGTACGGGGCAGGCTCGGGCGTGATGAAAGTGATCGAGAGGAATGGGATCCCACGGGATCCTAACCTAGCTGATACCATGTTAAGAATGAAAGTGTTGCATTCACAATGTTGGTTGGGGTACATAAACCTAACCCTAAGAGTTGTACCCCCTATGACACACATCACTAAGACTACAACATTTGAGATTCGCATATGGGGCTGTGTCTGACTATATACATCTAGACTGTAGCCCATGGAGGGTAAAAATCATTAGGGTTTGTAGGTACTTGTGCTCATTCATTCTTCATAGTCATCATTCCGCTGTACTCTCATTCTGGCACTCTTGGCAGGGTCTTCTTGTGGGCGACTGACGATGGTGCAACAAATTTTTGTAACATACGTACGTTGAACGCATCAAGTATGTTCATGCCGCCAGGCTGCCAGGTGCTGCGGAATATTTATGCCATAACATAATTGCGCACGAAACTGAACATGTCAGTTTCTGTTTCAGCGTACTTTTGAACCACCCTGTCCGGCCAGGATTTAATGTCAGGAACAATGATAAGCAGGGTAAAAATAAGCAAACTCTTCGCTCATCAGGGAGATTACCCTTTCAACGAGAGCCCTGCAGTAGATGCGTCGTTATTGGTTTGATCATATCCAGCCAACTTGTACAGCGCGAATGAAGCACATTATGAAGGAGACAGAACGGACTGCATGCGAGCAAGTAGATTAACAATGCCAATGACCAGCACCGGCAGCAATATGCGGAACACCATGCCATATAAAGCACTTCCTTGCACTGCGCTCTCCACCACCCACCACCAGAACCCCTCAGCACTCACCAGCTCCCACACCTCTCCCAAACCTGCCCCCGTTCCCACAGCAGCAGACCCCCCAACAGGATACCTGCTGTGAGCACCAGACATAACTGCAGCAACGGATGCAGCGACAGCAGCTACTGCCGCCACTGCAAGTGCAACGGCAAGAGACTGACCGGACAACCACATTTGATTGGGAGCAGCAGCAGCGGAGGGGGTGTATGTGCATGTGCGTGTGTTTTCCATGGGCTGAATGTGGGGAATGCAGGTTGGTGGGGTAAGGAGGGAGCTGGGTCGCGTGGAAATGAGGCTGCAGAGGAGAAAGAGCAGTGCGGCAGAGAGGGAAGCCACTGCGAAGTTGCTACAGCTGGCTGAGACAATAGTCACCCCCACGATTCCTAGGCTTAGTGCTCTAACCATTTGCCAGAAGGCGGATTGGGATATGGTCGGTGGGGAGGAGGACAGGTGGGAGGAGGTCAAGAGTGGTGAGGAGGAGGAGGAGGAGGAGGAGGAGGAGGAGGAGGAGGAGGAGGAGGAGGAGGAAGAGGAGGAGGAGGAGGAGGAGGAGGAGGAGGAGGAGGAGGAGGAGGGGTTGGCCGCGGTGGGAGGTGGTGCAAGGTGATGTTGGGCGGAACAGGCTGCGGTGAGATGCGGTGAAGGGGTGGAGATGAGGGAGCAGACGGTTCTAGCAACAGAAGGGCAGATGATAGACCACCAGAGAGAAACGACAATGGCCAGAGAGGAGAGAGTGGTGGTTGTCCAGAGTAGCAGGCAGTGAGTCGGGCTCGTGGGGAGGAGAAACGACGGGAGGAGGAATGAGGGGAGTGAGGGGAGTGAGGGGAGTGAGAGCAGGGGAGAGGGGGGAAGCATGGGGAGGAGTGACGAGAGGAGTTGGGCGAAAGGGAGGGGATTCGGGGATGAGAGGAGGTTGTCTGAGAGGTGCTGCAAGTGGGGGGGAATGGTGGCCACAAGGGCAGCCCAAAGAAAGAGCAGGCACACGAGGGCTGCTGCCTGCACGGCTGCTGCTGTGTCGGCTGCTTTCTGCAGGGAGAAATGCACTGGACACGCGCAGGGCAGGGAGGTGGGGCTCAGAGGAAGAACGAGGCATGGGCATGGGGGAGGCGGGAGGGTGGGGTTTTGGGGAAGGGTGGGAGCGGAGGAAAGGGGAGGCTGGGCAGGGGCTGACGTGGGGGGAGCGGCAGCGAGAGAGGACGAGGAGGAGGAGGAAGAAGAAGAAGAAGAGGCAGAAGAAGAGGCAGCGGCAGCAGTGGCAGGGGGGGGTAACGGGAAGCAGATGGATATGAGGTGGAGGAGGAAGGGGAGGAGGAGGAGTGCGATGGGGATGATGAATTTGCTGATGGGAACAAAGCGCGTGGGCGAGAGCAGCAGGTAGTAGTAATGAGAGTGGTGCAGCCGCTCCGATAGGTTGTTGAAGCACCGAATGACAGACTCCAGCAGCATTCCTAGATGGACGTATGATGACATGTCTGCCTGCAAGTTCACCCTCAGCTCCGGACGCTTCCCCTTCCCCTTCCCCTTCCCCTTCCCCTCCCCCTTCCCCTTGCCCTTTCCGCCCACCTTCCCCTTCCGCTCCCCCTTCCCCGTCCCCGCCCTCACCGCTCCCATCCCACCCACCCCGCCGCCTGCGGTTTCCCGGCCGGCCCCGCTCCCCCCAAGGTACCCTTGGGGAAGCACTGTGAGAGAGACTGCATCTACTTGCACCTCTCGAAACGCACCGTGTGTGCCTGACGCCCCTCCCACCAGCTGGTTCCATAGCACACGAGCCAGTCCCCTGGCTCCCTCCTCAAACTCACGCCCGCCGGTAACCACGCCCTTTACTCCCACGCTCTCTAGCCAGGCCCCCACGGTGGTTAGGGTTTCTGCAGTGCGAGAGATGGCGGTTGAGAGGAGGTCTAGGGTGGAGGACGGGAGGAGGTGGAGGAGAGGGGGAGGGAGGTCTGGGGGAGGCTGGATGGAGAGTTTGAGGGAAAGCCAAGAAGAGATTTTTTGGACTGTGGCGGGCAGGTCGAGGTTTGGCATCTGCCCGTTGATTCCGTCCGCCCGAATTTCGAGCGAGTCGACGGGGCCTCCGAGCCAATCAGGGCTGGCTTGGAGGGTCACAGCTGCAATCATCATGCTGTGAGGAGCGAAGGGAGAAAGAGAGGAGGAGGAGGAGGATTGAGACGCTTGGAGTAGTTGTGAAGAAGGACAGGCGCCTGACTCCTCCTCACTCGCTCTTATCCCACTCCCCCCGCTGCTGCGGCTGCTACCGCTGACGCTGCTGCCATTGCTACTGCAGCTGCCGTTGCTGCTGCAGGTGCGGGTGCTTGAGCAGGAATGGGAGGTGACGGTTGGAGCGTCGATACCACGGTATTCTTTAAGCCAGTGCTGCACGGCATGCTGGGCGCCGTAGCGAGCATCTGCAAGCAGCCAGACCACGTCCTTGGCTTGCCACTGCGCCTGGGACAGCAGGCGCAGGAGAGAGAGTGCGACTGCCACTGAGAGCGCGTCGGATGGGGACACGCAGGGAGACACACCCTCGCTGCCGCCGCCGCCGCCGCCGCTGCTGCTGCTGCTGCTGCTGGTGCGCAGGCGCATGAAAGGCGTGACGAGCACAAAGGCCTCATCGCTGTAGCCCTGGCGGGACCGGAGCACAGTTGCTATGCTCTCTGCTGCTTGCACCTGCTCCTGCTCCACAGCCCCGTCTATCCCTTCACCACCTTGACCACCACCACCAGCACCATCGCCACCATCACCATCATCATCAGAAGGGCGGGTGGAGAGGTGGGTGCGTGTGAGGCGAGAGGAGGAAGGGGACCAGACGTGCGGGTAGAGAGGTAGTTGCAAGGCTCGCAGGTGGTGAGCAATCCACTCGTCGAACGAACCCCTGAGGTGAGACGGCGCGATGGAGAGAAGGGGAAAAAATTCAAAAAAGATGGGGAAGCAGGTGGAGGAAGAGAGGGGCGTAGGGGATCGGATGGAAGAAGAGAAAGGGTTGGGGGGATGCGTAAAGGCGAGAGGAAGGGGGGAAGGGGAGAAGATTAGAGCGGTGCAAACAGGGGGGAAACGGCACGGAGAGAAAAAAGTGCATACAGAAGTGGGCAGCCCTGCAGAAGGGTTGAGGAAGTTTGCTGACAAGTGCAGTGGAGAGGGACACGTGAAATAATGCTGTGGCAATCGCAGCAGCAAGATGGCGAGAGTTACATGCTGTGTAAACACGCTGTGGCAGAGTTACCTATGGCAGAGTTACCTGTGGCTGAGTTACCTGTGGCTGAGTTACCTGTGGCAGAGTTACCTGTGGCTGAGTTACCTGTGGGTGTGCAGCGATTGCAGCAGCGCAATGGCGTAGCGGGCATCGGATTCGGAATAGCGAGGAGATGCTGAGCCTGGCGGGGAACAGAGGGAGAGGGAGAGAGAGGGTGGGGGAGGAGGGAGAGGACAGGGTGAGAGTGTGAGAGAGTGGGAAGGTGACGGAATGAGGGAGTGGGTGAGAGGAGGGCAGAGAAGAAGCAGTTGAGGCGGGATGACAATGGTGACAGATCACAACGATAATGATAATGATAATGATAATGATGATCATGTGAATAATCTTCATAATGCTGCTGACGTGTAAGGATGGCGTGACGTGGCAAGGGCGCACCTGGCATGAGCGCGTTTTCGTCCACATAGGTGGGTGCGCTGAGGGCGGGGAGCAGCAGCAGCAGCACGAGACCCGCTGTCACGCTCACGGCGCTGTGTGAATACACGGGAGAGAGAGAGGGAGGCAGAGGGACGCAGAGGGAGGCAGAGGGGTGCAGAGAGTGGGGGAGAGTGGAAAAGAGATTTGAGACATCTCAAAACAGCAGCAGCAGCAGCACGAGACCCGTTGTCACGCTAGAGAGAGAGAGGCCAAGGGGGAGAACGAGAGAGGCCGAGGCGGAGAGAGAGAGAAAGTGTACCAGATAATGCCGGACAGCCAGACCGTACCAGATAATGCCGGAGCGACGGAGTGCGGCCGCCACGAGTCGGCCCAGCACCAGCCTGATCCGCTCGCGCGCAGTCGCCATTGCCACTCACCCGTCACCGTCACCGTCACCGCCACCGTCACCGTCACCGTCTCCGTCGCCGGCGCAAGAGATCTCTTTAAACGTGCCGCCTTCTCCTCCTTTCTTCTTCCGTTCTCTCCTTAATCCTCGAGAAGGAAGTCGCGGGAATATTACAGCTCTGGGAATGTCACAGACTCTGATCGCTCATCCCCGCGCCCTACGCCGCAGAAATCCCGGCCGAGTTGTAACACCCTTGACAATTAGCCCGGCTAGTTATCCCCTTTCCAATCCTCTCGACTAGTGGCACCCTTAGCCCGCATTCGTACGGAACCTCGAAGCTTCCGTGCCCGCGAATCGACTGTGCGACTACAGATGCATTTGCGATCAGCACCGATGGATTTCCAGTAGCGATCATGGAGATCCCAAGGGATCAACCCACCGTGCTTGGAATACGCGATAAAGGTTCAGTTTCTGTAGAATGTTACTGTACCTCCTTATTGCAACAAGCACCCGATTTTCCTTGGCATTATACCTATTTTTTCCCCACTCATAAACGTTTCAAAATTCTGTGTCAGAAAATGAGGAATGAAAACCAAATGCTGTTTAGCGTCTACAAAGCTGGACAACAGCAGGCAGACGAGACAGCAGCGGGGAAGCGGTGAGCCATGGACGCACTCTAACGGCTACCTGACGGTTACGTAGCGGCTAGGTAACGGCCACGGCGCACGCGACTCGAGATGAGCGCCGCTAACGGCAACGCGTCTCTGCTCTCCTGCCTCCTCCGCAGCGCCGCGCGCCCAGCGCGAATTTCCTGCCGCACCCGCGATCCGCTCCTTCGCTCTCTGCCTGCTCGCGTCCCTCCTCCCACCGCCGCCGCCGCCGCCGCCGCCGCCGCCGCAGCCGGAGCCGGCGCCACCACATCCTCTGCGATTCTAACGGCAAATCAGATCTCCGCGCCGCGATCGGCCACTGCCATGTACATCCGCGCGGCGCCGCGTTACCGCGGGCCGTGCCACGTGTGCAGCTGGCAGCCGCTCGCGCGCGGCGGGCTTCTCGACCCGCGCCGCGACAGCTGCGCCCTGGGACGGTCTATTCCCCTCGCTTCCCTCCGCGTATCCTCGCCCTCCTCTCGCCTTTCGTTCTTGCGCACGAGTGGCGAGCTCAAAGGCAGCAGCAGCTATAGCAGGAGCAGCGGTGGTGGTGGTGGTTCTGGTGGCTCGTGTGGGGTTGGTGGTGGTAGAACTAGTGGTTTGGGTAGTGGTGGTGATGGTGGGCGTGTTACTTGCAACGCTGCAGGGAGTGGTGCTGAGGGATGGGGGAAGGGCGGAGGAGAGGCATGGGGAAGTGGCCGGGGGAAAGGGAGAAGCTTCAGCGGCAGGGGCAGGGGCGGTGATAGCTGGCTGGGCGATGGGGGTGGAGGGTCGGTGATAGGCGTAAGATGGGAGGAGGAGAGTGCGGAGGAGGAGGGAGAGGACGAGGAGGATGAGGAGGAGGGGGGTGGAAAGGGGAGGAGAGGCAAGGGTGGGAGGAGGGGGACGAGGCAAAGGGGGGCGAAGAAGCAGGAGCAGATGGCAGTAGCAGAGGCATACAGGCGGCACTACGTGGCTGCTGTCACTGCAGAGAAGGTGTGACATTAACGAGGATGCGTAGAAGGTGGACGTTATAACGAGTATGCACAGGTGTTGGTTATAGCGAGAATGCAGACTGGTGACTGTAGCGAGCAGAGGATGTTCGTAAAGAAAGTGACTCTCACAACCTACATTCTCGAGAATTCTCAAAGGGAGGGTGGCCAACTCTCTCTCTCCCCCCGCACCCCCCACCCCCCTTTCCGTCCCTCTTCCCCCTCCCCCTCCCCCTCCCCCTTCCCCTCACCCTCCCCCTGTGCGGTGGGGGGCAGGAGGACGAGCTAGCGGCATGGCAGCAGCGCATGGGCGGGTGGTCTTTGCAGCGGCTGGCAGAGGAGGGCTTTGCTCTCTTCAACCTCTCCGCCTCGCCCAAGGGCCGCTTCTTCAAGTGCGCCTCTCCTCTGCTCCTGCCCTCACACGCCCGCTCCTGCTCCCTCCCGCTTTCCCATGCTCTTACTTGCTCTCCCTCATCCCAGCTCCTGCCATTTCTCCTCCTCTGTGTCTGTCCGCCTGCCTCCCTGTGCATGAAAGCAGCATATGGTGCCGCATGTGCTGTGACTCGCACGCACTACCTCCTCGTCTGTCTTGTGTGTGTGAGCGCAGCGCAGCACATTGATGTGGGCACCACCTTGCGTGTTGCGCTGCGAGCACTAGTGTGTGTGGTGTGGCTCATGTCTGCCTCCCTCCCTGCCTCCCTCCCTGCCTGCCTCCCTCCCTGCCTGCCTGCCTCCCTCCCTGCCTGCCTCCCTCCCTGCCTGCCTCCCTCCCTGCCTCCCTCCCTGCCTGCCTGCCCGCCCGCCTGCCTGCCTGTGTATCAACCTCCCGTGTGCAGGAAGCGCATAGTGCAGTTCGCATTGGCTCCAGCACATGGAAGGCAGGGTGCTGCCGGGAGGAGTGGCACAAGCAGCGGTACAGGCGGTGCGGGCAGCGGTGGTGGCGGTGGTGTGGGTAGTGGGTTGCTGCCTCAGCATCACTTGCTCTCCCAGGTGAACACACCATCACACACACACCACACGATCGTGACACGCCCACGCGCACGCCGAAGTGCACGCCCACGTGACACGCCCAAGTGCACGCCCACGTGACACGCCCAAGTGCACGCCCACGTGACACGCCCATGTCTTCTATCGCACTTCCCTCCTGCTTCCCCTCTTCCTCTCTCTAGCAAGCATGCACTCGCTTGTGGTACTTTTGAGAATTCTCAAAAGTCGTAATCTGCGATGGCCTGTGCTTGCCTTCCTCCTCCGCTTTTTGTTCATGTATTTCCTATCAGCAGCACCATCTCACATTTGCTGTCGTGCAGGAATCACTCAGCTCCTCTCATACTTTAGGGTATCTCAGGAACTACTGTTGCCTTGCCTTGCCATGCCATGCAATGCGGTGCCATGCCGTTCCATGCCATGCCATGCCATGCAATGCGGTGCCATGCCGTTCCATGCCATGCCATGCCATGCAATGCGGTGCCATGCCGTTCCATGCCATGCCATGCCATGCAATGCGGTGCCATGCCGTTCTGTTCCATGCCATGCTACACCCCATGGGCACATGCATGCATGTGTGGGCACTGGGCAGGGAGACCTGGTGCTGGTGAATCCTAGCAGCGTTGACTCCATTGACTTGGAGGACTCGCTGGAAGGAGTGGTGCTGGAGAGGGCTCGCAGGTATGTGTGTTTTTGAGTTGACTCAAAGCGTTGACTGCATTGACTTGGAAGACTCGCTGGAAGGAGTGGTGCTGGAGAGGGCTCGCAGGTACGTGTGTTCCCTTCTGGTTTCAGAGACGTGCCAAATATAGAGAGGTCTTGAACCGCACTCACCCCTGTGACGATCTGTGTTACAGAGGGTGACACACCTCGCCCCACCGCATCTCACCGCGCCGCACCACACCTCACCTCACCTCACCTCACCTCAGCCTGTTGCGCTCACCTCCCTTTGCTTCCCTTCCTCACCTTTCCTCCTCTCTGATGCACTTTCGCTTTCAACTCTGTGCTTCTCCTCCTCCTCCTGCCGCCCCTCCCTCCCATCCAGGTACCTGCTGGTGCCTCCTCAAGGCGTTGCCACACTTGCTCATATGAACTAACTACCCTTGCGCCCCACTTCTTCTCGTTTCCCCCCCCAATGACCTCCCCTCCTACAGGTACTTGCTGGTGGTGATGGCTCCTCAAGACGTCGCCACACTTGCTCAAATGGACCAGCCCCTTCGTCTAGACCTCACCCTCAACACCGTTTCCTTTGACCGTGCGATTGATGCAGTTACCACCTTCTCCTCCCTCTCCCCCTCGGCGGTGACTCTCCCTGGTGCTGAGGAAGGGGAGCGAGGGGCTGGGGGGAAGGGGAGGGGGAGCGGGGGGGAGAAAGGGAGAGGGAAAAGTGGGGGGAAAGTGGTGGAGAAGGCAGGGGGAAGAGGGGAGGAGGGCGTGATGGTGGGTGAAGGGGCGATGGCTGTTTGGCGAGTGCTGATTGGTTCTGCTATGCGTGCAGGGCGGGAGGGGGTAGCTCTGCAGAATGAAGGTGCGACAATTACGGGAGTGGGTGGTGGAGTGAGGAAAGGAGGTAAAGGAGGAGGAAGGGATGGTGGTGGGGTTGCAAGAGGGGATGACACACCTGCTTCGAGCGCTGTTGCTGCAGCAACGGCCGCAGCAGCGGCGGCGGCGGCGGCGGCAAAAGTAAGGGGCGGAGAAAGAAGGGGAGGGCCGCCTTCCTTTGACTGGCAGTCAGCATTGGGACCAACAACAGCAACAGTAGGAGTAGGAGTAGCCACACAAGACCCTGAAGCCCTTGCATATGCCAAACGGCCGCCCACAGGGTTCCTCCCGCTGTTATCCAGCAAGAAGAAAAGCTCTGGGTCAGAGTCAGCAGCGGCAGCAGCAGCAGCAGGGGCCGCAGGAGAGTTGAGAGGGCGAGTGCGATCGGTGTTGCGAGAGATGCAGGCAGAGAGGGAGAGAAAGGGAGAGAGCGCGCGAGAGGGGGAGGGAATGGGAGAGTGGGAGCGTGAAAGAGACAACACGGGAGAGGGGGAGCGAGTGGAGAAAAGGGCGAGGCTGAACGCGAGTCAAGCGGCGGCAATAGAAGCGGCGATGGGGAGGAGGGTGACTCTGTGGCAGGGGCCTCCTGGGACGGGTAAAACCGCCACCCTTCTCCACCTCATGGCCCTTGCTAGACGCGTGCTGGGGCAGGGAGAGTTTGGTGATGCACAAGGGAGGGGTACGGAGAAAGGAGCTGGTGGTGGTGGGCGGAAGGGGGGGTTGGGAGTGAGGCGTGCGGGGAGGAAAGGCGGGGAGAGGGGAGGAGGGGGAGGAGAAGCGGGGGGGGGGATTGTGGGGAAGGTGTTGGCTGCGGCAGATAGGTGAGATGAGATGGGATGGAAGATGGGGGATGGGTGAGATGGGTATGGGTCACATGGGAGGGGGTGAGATGGGTATAAGTCACATGGGAGGGGGTGAGATGGGTATAAGTCACATGGGAGGGGGTGAGATGGGTATGGGTCACATGGGAGGGGGTGAGATGGGTATGGGTGAAGAGTGGTGAGGGAAGAGGGGGAACTAGCCACATGGAGGGGGTAGTTGTTGGTCTTTCTCAGCCAATCCTTCCCCGTGCGCATGCCAATCACACCTACAGTGACACACTCTATTGCCTTGCCTGTGCTCTCGAGACTCGACTCTCCCTTTGTCCCACACCGCCATGATCCATATCCTCCCCGTTGTTTGAGACGTCTCAAAACACCGCCATGATCCATATCCTCCTCGCATTGCCCTTCTGGCGGTCGCACAAGCAATCTGGCGGTCTCCCCCCTTAAATGCCCCCCTCGCTTCCCCTCCTGCCCTTCATTCTTCCCCCCACCAGCAACGTGGCGGTGAATAACATGGTGGAGGGGCTGCTGGGCATGGGCTTGCGCGTGGTGCGCCTGGGTCAGCCAGTCAAGGTCAGTCAACGCTGGTCATGCACCATGCACCATGCACCATGCACCATGCACCATGCACCATGCACCACACCACACACCAAGTACAAGTACCATGCCCATCTTTCCATGCGCACAGTCCAAGGAGTCTCTGCGACAGTGCACGCTACACGCGCTCGTGGAGGCCCACCCTCTCACGCACCATGCACCTTGCTCGTTACAACCTAATACGCCACCCTTACTCCTTCCCACACGCACAGGCCAAGGAGTCCCTACGGCAATGCACACTACACGCACTGGTGGAGGCCCATCCTCGCACCATGCAGCATTCGCTAGATGCGTTCGTGGAAGCTCACGCACCATGGGGCATATATACCCCATGCACCACACACTACACACCAAGATCACACGCCATACCCGTCTTCCATCTTTCCACACACACAGGCAAAGGAGTCCCTACGGCAGTGCACGCTAGACGCGCTCGTGGAGGCCCACCCTCTCACGCAGAGTGCAGTGCAACTGCGACAGCAGGCCATGGCAGCACGGGAGCACACCCCTCCCCGCACATCAAGCAGTGATTCTGAGTGGAAAACATTGTATTCGGCACCCTGCTCCACCCTCATCCGCACAGGCCAAGGAGTCTCTCCGCCAATGCACGCTAGACGCGCTCGTGGAGGCACACCCTCTCACACACCGTGGGGCATAAATACCCCATGCATGCACCATGCACACCACACACCACACCCCAAGATCACACACCATACCCATTTTCCCTCATCCCACACGCACAGGCCAAGGAGTCTCTCCGCCAATGCACGCTAGACACGCTCGTGGAGGCCCACCCTCTCACGCAGCGAGCGGTGCAGCTGCGACAGCAGGCCATGGCAGCGCGGGAGCACACCTCATGTATCAACCCCTGTTCCACCCCCATGCACAGGCCAAGGAGTCCCTGCGGCTGTGCACGCTAGATGCACTCGTGGAGGCCCACCCTCTCACGCAGCGAGCGGTGCAGCTGCGACAGCAGGCCATGGCAGTGCGGGAGCAGGGCCGGGCGGAGAGGAACGAGGGCCGGCGCAGAAGTGCAGCACAGGAGGCCACACGCGTGTGGGAGGCTGCAGATGCGGCTCAAGACGCCGCTGCTCTTGATGTCATGGAAAGGTGGGTGCATGGGTGGGTGGTTGGGTTGGTAGGTGGGTGGGGGAAGGTGCGGCTAAGGGAGTGTGGGGAAGAGAGGATGGAGAGGATGGGAGAGCAGCACAGGGGGCCACTCGTATGTGGGAGGCTGCAGATGCGGCTCAAGACGCCGCTGCTTTTGATGTGCTGGAGAGGTGGGTGCGTGGGTGAAGCACGAGCGAGGGAGAGCCAAGCGAGGGTGAGATGGACAGGGATCGGGAGCGTGGGTGTTTGCGTTAAAGGGGAAAGCTGGGACGATCCTTGGGGGGGGATTGTGTGTGTGTACTGTACTGCAGGCAGGGTGGTGGTAGCGTGCAGTTTGGAATGGACCAGCAATTTGATGTTTTGCCAGGCTCTCTGCATGTGCATGCACATATACGCATGTGCTGTTCTTGCCCATGCTTCCTTCCACCTCGTCCCTGCCTCCCTGCCTCCCTCCCACGCGCAGAGCGGATGTGATAGCAGCAACGTGCGTGGGGGTGGCTTTTGAGGCGCCTCAATACAAGCGTGCGCTGTTCCTGCCCGTGTGTCCACCACATCACACCACGTCGCCCCCTCTAACCCTCCGTGCGCAGAGCGGATGTGATAGCAGCAACGTGCGTGGGGGCGGGGGATCCCGTGCTCAGCATTCTCCTTTTGAGGCGCCTCAAAACTCCGCCTCCCTGCCTTTCTCCCTGCCGTGCACAGAGCGGATGTGATAGCAGCAACGTGCGTGGGGGCAGGGGATCCCGTGCTCAGCATTCTCCTGAGCCGCCACCCGTCGGCCTTTGCTCTCTGTATCATAGATGAAGCCACTCAGGTGAGCTCATGCTTTCTCAGCAACTTATTGTGAGCCATCACTCACTCAGGTGAGCTCATGCTTTCTCAGCAACTTATTGTGAGCCATCACTCACTCAGGTGAGCTCATGCTTTCTCAGCAACTTATTGTGAGCCATCACTCACTCAGGTGAGCTCATGCTTTCTCAGCAACTTATTGTGAGCCATCACTCACTCAGGTGAGCTCATGCTTTCTCAGCAACTTATTATGAGCCATCACTCACTCAGGTGAGCTCTCACACACTAAGCTCTCGTCCCTCTACCCACCACTTCCATTCCTAGGCCACATAGCCAGCACCGCTCATTCTCAACGCGGCCACCAGAGCAGCTCTCTTTCACTCCACCCAAAAACTTCCTCGGATCTCCTCCGTCCTGATTCATATCGGGAGTAGCAGCAAACCTGTAAACACGCTTAAGCAAAAGGATCATAACTGTAAAACTTGCTCCTAGAAATTTTTAAAAAATCTCAAAGCCTCCAAGCAGCTCTCTTTCACTCCACCCAAAAACTTCCTCGGATCTCCTCCGTCGGGCTCCCCCTCGCATTTCCCCCCCTCTCTCCTCCCTCCCTCTTCCCTTCAAGTCCACAGAGCCAGCGACACTGATCCCCATCTTAGCCAGCAGAGCGAGCAGTGTGGTGCTTGTGGGCGACCCCATGCAGCTCCCACCCACTGTCGTTTCACAACGGGCCCTGCAGGTGGGTGGGTGAAACAATGGGCCTCCCACTGCCTGTTTGCGGGTGGGTGGGGTGGGGGTGGTGTGGTGGCGGGTGTGGTGGGTGGGTGTTGGGTGGGTGGTGAGAGGAGCGAGCGCAATAGTGAGAGGAAATAGTCTATCAGAATCGTGTCGAAGCCATCGTTCGTACCCCATGCATCCGTCAGCAGAGTTTTGAGACGTCTCAAAACTCCATTTGCATCCATCAGAGGGCCCTCTCAAACATGCAGGTATGCGTATGCTTGCCTGTTGCTGTGGCTCTGTACATGTGTGTGCGCTGCGCACGGCATTGGCCAACATTACTGTCCTTATATGGAATGTGTGCTACAGTGTAACTTTCGAACAATCTCCAAAAGTGATGCTAATTTACCAGGCTCACATGCCATGTGTGTGTGCGTGCGTGCGTGCGTGCGTGCGTGCGTGTGTGTGAGCACTTCACACAGTACTGGTGTGTCCTACTCCCACCTGACCAAACCTTTTCCTCCCTCCCTCCCCTCCACCTGACCTCCCCAGCTAGGGCTGGACGTACCTCTGTTCTCGCGCCTGCAGAGCCACGGCTTGCAGCCACTGCTGCTCGACACACAGTACCGGTACGTGCTTAGACGGGTGCTGGGATGTGCGGTGGGTGGGGCGGTGGGACGGGCAGTGGGTCTGTCCCACATTCCTCTCACCGCTGCTGCTGCTGCTGCTGCTGCTACCGCTGCTGCTACCGCTGCTGCTACCGCTGCTGCTACCGCTGCTGCTACCGCTGCTGCTCGTGGGTGATTCCTGAGACGTCTGTACAATACTCACCGCTGTTGCTGCCACAGCTGCTGCTCATGGGCGATCCCATGCTGCTAGACACACAACACCGTACGTACTTGTATAGCTTCTTCTATTCTTATCCATCTAAAAAAACAGCATGTGCAGGGAGAAAGGATAGCAGGAGAAAGAGAGGACGGAGGACGTGCGTGGACTGACTGGACACACCTCCAGCTCGCCTCGGCTCTCCCTTCTCTTGTTTTCCTTCCTACCCACCCACCTTTCAGTTCTCTCCTGTTTCTCTCTTTGCGTCCTCTCTTCTCCACCCCACTCCTGCCAGCATGCACCCGTCCATAGCAGCCTTCCCCTCGGCTGTCTTCTACTCCCACCGCCTCCTCTCCTTCCCCACTCCGCAAGACCGACCCGCCCCGGCAGGGTGAGTGATTCTCTCTGCCTGCCTGCTTCTCGCTCTGCCTGCTCCTCGCTCTGCCTGCTTCTCGCTCTGCCTGCTTCTCGCTCTGCCTGCTTCTCGCTCTGCCTGCTTCTCGCTTTGCCTGCTTCTCTCTCTGCCTGCTTCTCTCTCTGCCTGCTTTTCTCCCTTCTCGCTCTCCCTTCCCGCTCCTCTTTCTTCTCTTCAGAAATATCAGCACTCTAGTGTCAGCTTTGCCTGCTCATCTGCTTCATCTGCTACACCCTGTCATCCTTCCATTCCCTTCCCTTCCCTTCCCTTCCCTTCCCTCTACTTTCCCCCCCTTCCCTCGCCTTCCCCTTACCCTCCATCCCCCGACTCAGCTTCCTCTGGTCCAGCACCGCCCACCCCATCGCCTTCATAGACTGCAATGGCGTTGCAACGCCAAGCAGCAACCCCACCCCCACCACCAATATGGCGGCACGCGAGTCGCTGGAGGAGAGTCCGGGAGACTCCACTTCCTGGATGAATGCCGCAGAGGCGGAGCAGGTGAGAGGACCACACGTTTATACACGTTTACATGCTACTGTCAACTTCATGCTCAAGGTTTTTCCAACCTGCAACTCGCCAGTCCACATGGGTGGAGGAGAGTCCGGGAGACTCCGCTTCCTGGATGAATGCTGCAGAGGCGGAGCATTGCCCATTGCTACGCCTCTTGCTCCGCACTCCGTACTCCAACTGGTGGTATGGTCTGTGAAGCGGCGGAGGAGGTCCAACAGGTGGTAGGGGCTGTGTGCAATGAGTGCGTGGCGTGGGGCACTGCGTGGGAAGAATGGGGGTGTAGGGATTGGGGGAATGGAGGGAAGCGGGAAGGATGAAAGGAAAAGCCAGTGGATTCACGTCTCAACCCTCGTTTCTCTTCCATGCCGTGTGTGTGTGGCTGTATTCGTTGATCATTGACTGCTATGTTGGATTGGATTCATTTGTTAGAAATCTCAAAAAAGACCACACCGCTGTGTTTCGCTTCCGTGTGTGTGTGTGTGTGTCGTTGTTTTCATTCAACATTGACTGCTCTCTTCTCTGCTCAGGTGGTTGCACTGGTGAAGAGTCTGCTGTCTGCTGGTGGCATGGCCAAGGGGTGTGAAGACATAGGGATCATCACACCATACAGAGCACAGGTGTGTGTGTGTGTCTGTCTGTCTGTCTGTCTGTGTGCCACTTGGGCGCGCTTCTCTTCGTGCTTGCGCTTGTGCTTGTGCTTGCGCTTGCGCTTGTGCTTGTGCTTGTGCTTGTGCTTGTGCTTGTGCTTGTGCTTGTGCTTGTGCTTGTGCTTGCTCGTGACACATCGTTTTCCAGAACCTCACCCATGCACAACAGATCCCCGCTCAGAAGAATATTCCCAGTCCTGTACAGCATAGGCTCCCTCCCAGCCAGCCCTCTAGCACGACCCTCCCCTTCCATCCTTTCCCCCGCCCTTCCTTCCTTCCTTCCTTCCTTCCTTCCTTCCTTCCTTCCTTCCTTCCTTCCTTCCTTCCTTCCTTCCTTCCTTCCTTCCCTCCTTCCCTCCCTCCCTCCCTCCCTCCCTCCCTCCCTCCCTCCCTCCCTCCCTCCCTCCCTCCCTCCCTCCCTCCCTCCCTCCCTCCCTCCCTCCCTCCCTCCCTCCCTCCCTCCCTCCCTCCCTCCCTCCATCCCTCCCTCCCTCCCTCCCTCCCTCCCTCCCTCCCTCCCTCCCTCCCTCCCTCCCTCCCTCCCTCCCTCCCTCCCTCCCTCCCTCCCTCCCTTCCTTCCTTCCTTCCTTCCTTCCTTCCTTCCTTCCTTCCTTCCTTCCTTCCTTCCTTCCTTCCTTCCTTCCTTCCGTCCTTCCTTCCTTCCTTCCCTCCCTCCCTCCCTCCCTCCCTCCCTCCCTCCCTCCCTCCCTCCCTCCCTCCCTCCCTCCCTCCCTCCCTCCCTCCCTCCCTCCCTCCCTCCCTCCCTCCCTCCCTCCCTCCCTCCCTCCCTCCCTCCCTCCCTCCCTCCCTCCCTCCCTCCCTCCCTCCCTCCCTCCTCCCTCCTCCCTTCCTTCTCCTTCCTTCCTTCCATCCTTTCCCCCGCCCTTCCTTCCTTCCTTCCATCCATCATTCCTTCCTTCCTTCCTTCCTTCCTTCCTTCCTTCCTTCCTTCCTTCCTTCCTTCCTTCCTTCCTTCCTTCCTTCCTTCCTTCCTTCCCTCCCTCCCTCCCTCCCTCCCTCCCTCCCTCCCTCCCTCCCTCCCTCCCTCCCTCCCTCCCTCCCTCCCTCCCTCCCTCCCTCCCTCCCTCCCTCCCTCCCTCCCTCCCTCCCTCCCTCCCTCCCTCCCTCCCTCCCTCCCTCCCTCCCTCCCTCCCTCCCTTCCCTCCCTCCCTCCCTCCCTCCCTCCCTCCCTCCCTCCCTCCCTCCCTCCCTCCCTCCCTCCCTCCCTCCCTCCCTCCCTCCCTCCCTCCCTCCCTCCCTCCCTCCCTCCCTCCTTCCTTCCTTCCTTCCTTCCTTCCTTCCTTCCTTCCTTCCTTCCTTCCTTCCTTCCTTCCTTCCTTCCTTCCTTCCTTCCTTCCTTCCTTCCTTTCATCCTTTCCCCCGCCCTTCCTTCCTTCCTTCCTTCCATCCTTCCTTCCTTCCTTCCTTCCTTCCTTCCGTCCTTCCTTCCTTCCTTCCTTCCTTCCTTCCTTCCTTCCTTCCTTCCTTCCTTCCTTCCTTCCTTCCTTCCTTCCTTCCTTCCTTCCTTCCTTCCTTCCTTCCTTCCTTCCCTCCCTCCCTCCCTCCCTCCCTCCCTCCCTCCCTCCCTCCCTCCGTCCCTCCCTCCCTCCCTCCCTCCCTCCCTCCTTCCTTCCTTCCTTCCTTCCTTCCTTCCTTCCTTCCTTCCTTCCTTCCTTCCTTCCTTCCTTCCTTCCTTCCTTCCTTCCTTCCTTCCTTCCTTCCTTCCTTCCATCCTTTCCCCCGCCCTTCCTTCCTTCCTTCCATCCATCCCCCCTTCCTTCCTTCCTTCCTTCCTTCCTTCCTTCCTTCCTTCCTTCCTTCCTTCCTTCCTTCCTTCCTTCCTTCCTTCCTTTCATCCTTTCCCCCGCCCTTCCTTCCTTCCTTCCTTCCATCCATCCTTCCTTCCTTCCTTCCTTCCTTCCTTCCTTCCTTCCTTCCTTCCTTCCTTCCTTCCTTCCCTCCCTCCCTCCCTCCCTCCCTCCCTCCCTCCCTCCCTCCCTCCCTCCCTCCCTCCCTCCCTCCCTCCCTCCCTCCCTCCCTCCCTCCCTCCCTCCCTCCCTCCCTCCCTCCCTCCCTCCCTCCCTCCCTCCCTCCCTCCCTCCCTCCCTCCCTCCCTCCCTCCTTCCTTCCTTCCTTCCTTCCTTCCTTCCTTCCTTCCTTCCTTCCTTCCTTCCTTCCTTCCTTCCTTCCTTCCTTCCTTCCTTCCTTCCCTCCTTCCTTCCTTGATTCTACTCGTGCAGGTGAATCTGATTCGAGGCATGCTGCAGAGAGAAGCTCAGAGCTGGGGAGGGGAGGGCAGCAGGGCGGTTGGGCGGGGTGGAGTGCGGTTGGCGAAGGTGGATTTGGAAGACGTGGAGGTGAAGACAGTGGATGGGTTTCAAGGACGCGAGAAGGAGGTGAGGCGGGGGGGGGGGGGGGGGGGGGGGGAGGAAAGGTGAGGCATAGCAAGAAAATAACAATCAGGCAACTGTTGCATGCAAAGTGCGCTCGACTATGAAAGCCTCTCAACCGCGAGGCTCACTCAAACGCTGTGCATGCTGTCTTCTTTCTCTCACACATAGAGTACACCCCAATCCTCCATCCGTCCACCCTGCTTCCCCCCCTTCGTGCCAACCAGGTGGTCATCGTCTCCACAGCACGATCCAACCCCGAGGGGCCTTATATTCCACCACCATACACCCATCCCCCCCCTTCCCCCCTCTCTCTCCCCCATGCCCCTCCCCCATCTCCCCACCAGGTGATCATCGTTTCCACAGTGCGATCCAACCCCGAGGGGCGCATAGGCTTTGTGGCGGACGCACGGCGCCTGAACGTGGCCGTTACACGCGCCCGGAGAGGCCTGCTCGTGGTCGGCAGCCGGGCCACTCTCTCCTGCGACCCTCTCTGGTCGTTCTGGCTCGCCCACCTGAACCACCTGCATGCCTCATCTGGGAAGAAGCGCTAACTTCCAGTGCAGATTCTAGAGACGTCTGCTCTGCAGGTCTCAGAAGAGAGGCCTGTTGGTGGTTGGCATTCATGCCATGCCACGCTCTCCTCTCCTCTCCTCTCCTCTCCTCTCCTCTCCTCTCCTCTCCTCTCCCCATTCTCTCTGCCTTTCCCACCCGCACCACCTGTATGCCTCGTCAGGGGCGAAGCGTTAGCGTCTGCTGCAGTCTCACTCAGTCGCCTATCACTGTTACCTAATGCAGTAGCAGTACCAGTAGCATGTTTGCGTCTTGTTCATGCTTGTTCTTTCGCAAGGTCCGCCAATGGCTTGATACATTCTTAACGTGCATTGATTTACAAAGGATTAACATTCTTTGCCTGCCATTTCTTGGCTTATCCAAAGGCCTCCCTTTCATTCCATACACATCACATTCTTTGAGAATTCTCAAAAAGCGGCTTAGGTATGGCCAATCTCAGGACCACACCACACCCACATCAAGACACGTGGAGAGAGATATTCGAGACCACGCTTAACCACATGAGGCCAGTACCGGTTTTGGGACATCGCATAAGAGTTTTGAGACGCCTCAATAGTACCAGCGTCGAGACTTCCCACTCCCAGCCAGAATACACAGCACTGCTTCTTTCGGAGCGGCATGCGAGTGGCCCTTGACCGGGTTTCAAGCCCTGAGACTCCCAGCCCAGCCTTTCTGCCTCCCCTCTACCTTTCTACCACTTCCACCTCTTCTACCGCAGTGCATGCTGCAGGGAGTTGCAGGCGTGAGGGGACGGAGCAACGGGGCGAGGCGGCCGTCCTCTGCGGGAGGAGGAGGACGACGAAGACACCCTTCCCACGCCTCTCTTGCTCCCAATCTCCTCTCTTCTCTCTCTCCCACTCTCTCCTGCTAGCCCTGCTGCTGCTTCTGCAGCTGCTGCGGTGGCGGCTGTGGCTGCTCCTACTGCTGCAGGCAATGGCAATAACACCCCATCCCTAACCTCCCCCACTGCTCCCTCCCTAGCCTCCAGAACCGGGCTTTCAAGGGGATAAAAAAACGGATCCGGCAGATCAGAGCCCTCCAGGATCAAACCAGGGCCCTCCAGAAGCACTGGGCTGGTGAGACCACTCAGGAGCGAACCAGACAGCTGAGCAGCAGCAGTCGCAACAGGCGCAGCATTTAGAGGGAACAGGAGAGGCGCCACTTCTGTCCCTGCACAAGTATCCTGACCAGCATGGTGTGTGGCTCCAGCTGCAGCGGCGGTGCCAGCAGCGGCGGTGGCAGCAGCGGCGGTGGCAGCAGCGGCGGTGGCAGCAGCGGCGGTGGCAGCAGCGGCGGTGGCAGCAGTGGCGGTGGCAGCGGTGGCGGTGGCAGGAAACGAGCGAAGCTGGTCCAAATGAGTCCACTCACATGTCCCTGCATCGCCCACCCGAGTCACTATGGCCCCATCACATTGACCCCTCGCTTCACCAGCGTTCTTGGCCTTCTCTGGACTGAGCTCTGCCTCTCCACGTCCCACCTGTATCCACATCCGCATGTTTTTCTCATCCCCAGCCACTCCTACGCCTTCTGCGGCTGCCATACTTTCTAAATCTTCACTCGACCCTGCTGCTGGCTGCTGTGCCATTGCATCCTCTGTCGTTTCATCCACCCGTACCCACTCCGCACTGCCTGCTGATAACAAACTTCTGTCTAGACCCGTCAGCCTGGGGAACATGGAAAAGAGAGAAGAGCAAAAGTGAGCGCGATGGAAACTGGTTGATCAGTGCAAAACAGATCCTAAACGCTTCCCACCCACCTCCCTTTTCCCCTTCACCCTGCTTTCTCCCTCCACCATCCCCCTACTCCTCCCCTTCCGCTCCCACTCCCCTTATTCTGCCTTCCATTATTCTCTACCTCCCCACTTTCCACCTTCCTCCATCCCCTTACCTCCGCCATAACCCCCACAATCGCACCAGGCAGAATTCTAAAGCAGCTCACCTGTCTTCCTCTTGAAGCACATCCGCTAGAGTCACCTCCATCAACCTGATTCCCGTCTGCCCCACTTTTCGCCTCACCCTCCTTCTCCGCCTCCTCGTGCAAATTCCCAGCTTCCTGCTGCTGCTGGTTCTGCTCTTGTCAGCTGCGTAGCTGGCATTCCCGCCGCCATTCCTAGCCTCATCCGCGCCCCCACTTTCCTCGTTACAACAGCTTTCACATTCCCCACCCTCCTCCCCCACCAGTCCCTCCTCATCCTTACCCCTCTCTTCTTCCTCTCCCTCCACCCACTCCTCCCCTTCCCACTCCTCCCACTCCTCATTTTCCTCCCACTCCTCTCCCTCTCCTCCCTCTTCTTCACTGCAGTCCGTCTCCCACTCCTCTCCACTGCTGCTACTCCCCTCACCCGTCCCCACTAGCTCCTCAACTCCCCACTCCCCATCCCCATTCCCTCCCTCCAATCCCCAACCGAGAACAGACTCCCTCTCTCCAACACCCGCCACCACCCCTAACTGCTCCCTCTCCTCGCTCTCCTCTCCACCTCCTTTCGACCTCTCTGCCCCTCCATCTTCTCTCAGTTGCCGCACACTCCCACCGTGCTGAGCCCATCCCTCGTGCGCCAGCCTCTCCCCATATACATGCACCCTCTCCCCATGCACAGAGCACGCCTCCTCCGCCTCTCTCCCTCGCCACACCCAACCCACCACGTCTCCTATAAGCTCCTCCACCCCTCTCCTCACCTCCTCGTCACTGCACATGTGCTCCACAGCTACTCCTGCTCTTGCTCCCCCTCCTCCTCCTCCTCCTCCTCCTCCTCCTTCTCCAGCCTCCGCCGCACTTTGAGTAAAACTGGCCTCAGTCTCAGCCCCTTCCTGCTCACCTCTCTCCCTACTCCCCTCTCTCAATACTACTTCTCCGTATAGCACCCCAGCCGTCTGAGTCGCCTCAAATGCCGTCTTGCCCTCGCCTCTACCCCTCCTCTCCGCCTCAGCGACTTCCCCTGATGCCATTCCGTTCCGCCAGTGCTCCCCATCCCCACTCTCCCCACCTGATCTGGTCTCCTCTTCTGAAGCAGAACCTGTAGCAGCAGTCAGACGCGAGGTAGCAGACTCCCAAGCATCATACAGTCTCCTGCTGCTGCTGCTGCTGCTGCTTCTTCTTCTGATCCTGTTGTTGTTGCAGCTGCTGCTGCTGCCTCCTCTGCTGCTGCCTCTGCTGCCGTCTCTGCTGCTGCTGCTGCCAGCCTGTGCTGCTTGTGAGTCATCACTGCAAAGCCCACCACTGCTCGCCTCTCTGCTCCTGCTCCTACTGCTGCTACTGCTGCTACTGCCACTACCACTCCTGCTTCCCCTGCTTCTCAAACGCTGCCATCTCTCTTCACTGATCCCACCACCCCTCCTGCTACGGCCACCACCATCAGGCACACCACCACTCACTCCACTGCCTATGTCACCACCGCTACCGCCGTTGCTACCGCCGTTGCTACCGCCGTTGCTACCGGCATTGCTGCCGCCGTTGCTGCCACCGTTGCTACCGCCGTTGCTGCCGCTGCTGCCAGCTTGACCCACACTCCCACAACTCCCATCTCCACCACTCTCCACCGAACAAGACGCTCTGCTTACCTCTCTGTCTACATGGGAAAGGGAAGCGCTAGCACTGCTGCTGCTGCTCACGCTGCTGTTGCTTTGCCTGCTGCCCGCTCTGCCGCTCCTCCCCATACTGCTGCTACCGCCACTACTGTTGTCCATGCTCCGACCATTGCGCAAGCCATTGCTGTTTCCTGCACTCACACTCCCCTTCCCTCCCGCACCCCTCTGTTGTTGCTTCACCTGCTGCTCCTTCCGTTGCTGCTCCTGCATCGGTTGCTTTGACTGCACCACTGCACAACACTTCTCATCCGCCTCCCTTCTCCTTTCACCACGCTTCTCACTCCCCTCTCCTCCCCCAATGGCACCTCTCACTCTCATCCCTCCACCACGCACTCCCCTTGCTCCACCTCTCCCTTCCCCTCCCCACCCATCCCCACCGCCCTCCACCACCCATCCCTTCACTAGCCCCCCCAACCTACCCCTTCTACTTGCACCATTCTCCCCCCAGAACACCACTCGCCGCACACAACCCTTCTCCACTCCCCCTCCTTCCCGCATCCCCACCCCTTGCCTTCCACCACCCGTCCTCCCACCAGCCACACTCCCAACACCCACCCTTTCACCCCCTCCCCCCCCCTCGACTGACCCTATCCCCCTCTCTGCCTCCGCTCCTCCTCTTCCCGCCTCTGTCTCCCTCTGCACCTCTCTCCACCACATTAACCTGCACCAACTGGTCCCCAGGTGCCCTGACCAGCACCGCTGCCCCACCTGCTGGGTGCTTCTGCTCCTGCTCCTTCCGCTCCTTCTCCTCCCGGGTGTGATGCAACGCCCCGGGTGCTGCCTGTGCTGCGGGCGCTGCCTGTGCTGCCTGTGCTGCATGCACTGCTATCCTTCGCTCTGCCTGCTTCTCCGCACACCTGGCTCGCCTCTGTAGCAGCGAGACTAGCTCGCACACAGACATGCCCGACTGCAGCTGCTCCCGCTGCTCCTGCTGCTCCTGCTGCTTCTCCTGCTCCTTCTGCTCCTTCCACTCCTGCTGGATGGTCATACTCCCACCACACGTCCCACCACTACCAGCAGCAGCACCACCACCATTAGCAGCATCGCCCACAGAAGCAGCAGCAGTCGCACCAGCAGCAGCAGTCGCAACAGCAGAAGCAGCAGCAGAAGGGTTACCCCCATCTACACCAGCCTGCAGCAGAAGCAGCAGCTGTTGAGCTAGGGAGGCTATCACCCGGTCCTTCCTACCAGCATCCCTCCACACCGCTGCCAACTCCCTAGCCGTCACTCCTGCTGCCTGCACTATCGCTGCCTCCTTCCCTCTCAACCTCTGCTCCAGCTCCCTCACCCGCCCCGACGAACCTGCAGGTACCAAGCCTGCGGGTGCCAAGCCTGCGTGTGCCAAGCCTGCGCGTGCCGAGCCTGCTTGTGCCTGCTCCTGTGGCTGCTGCTTTTGCCCTTGCTTCCGAGCCTGCTGTTTCCGCCCTTGCGTCTGCCCCTGCTTCTCAGCCTGAATCTGTTTTCCTTTATGAAAATCTACATACGCTTGCTGTCGCTGCCTCAGCATTCCCCCCGGCACCCTTCCCCCAATTCTCCCTTGCGTTGCTCCCCTCCTCTCCCCACAATCTTCCCCTTCCCTCCCTACCCCACTCCCACTCCCTCTCACCCCTCTCACCCCTCTCACCCCTTTCACCTGCATAATCTCCCCCGCTTCCTCTCCCCTCATCTCCCCTCCGCACCTCCCCTCCCAAACCAGCTCCTGAACCGGCTCAAAAACCTCTCCACCCAACCGCACCTCCCGCTCCTCCAGTTCCCTCTCCATCCTCCTCACCATCTCCCTCTGCTTCTCCACCTCCTCTCTCAACCTCTCCTTCTCTGCCTCTCCAGCACGTATCCTCTTCTCCCTCTCCCTTATCTCCCGCTCCATTCTACCCTCAATCGCCCACGCATCTCTCCCACCCGCCCTTCCACCCCTCTCTTCAAACCCTACTCTCTCCCACTCAGCAGCAGCACTTGCTACTTCCCCCCCATCTTCCACTCTCACCGCTCCCACCACACCAATCCCCGCACCCACACTCCCTTCCGCCCTATCCTCCCGCCGAGCCTCCTCACAGCTCACCCCAACAGCCCCTCCGCCTGCACCTATCCCAGAAGCCAATGTCACTTCAACCGATTCCTCTTCCGCCCCATAACACCTCTCCACCCCGCCCTTCCTCTCCCCCTCTTCTCCTCGCCTCTCCCCTTCCCCCAACCCTTCTCCATCGCCCCTGAACGCCGCACCCCCCTGCACCACTCTCCATCCCATTCCTTTCTTCCAGCACCCCAGCGAGCCCTCTCTCTCATCCGCCCCCCAGAAACCCCCAAACCCCCCACCGGCACTGTCACTCCCCACACTCCCAACCCTCTCACTCGCCTCAACACCAACAAACCCAACACCGCACCCACCATCACCACTGCTGCCCCTCTCCTCATCCTTCACTCCTCCTCTCCTCCCAACACCTCCCTTCCTCTCCTCTCCTGCTCTCCTCCCCGCTCCTCCCTTCTCCAGCCGCCTCAGCCTCTCTTCCAGTTCCCTCACAGCACACCTCTGCCTAGCCTCAAGCTCCTCTCTCTCTGCCGCTGCTTCCCGTGCCACGCGGCTCAACTCCCGCTCATAAGTCGAAGCTGCAAGATCGACCAACCGCCTCTGAACCCCTAATTCGCCTCTTAATCTCTCTATAGTCTCTGATCGCGCCTCCAGCTCCACTCCTAGCATCTCCCGGTCCTTAACTAGCGAGGCTACTATTTTCTGGCTGTTGCTGCTGAGGCTGCTGGTGCTGCGGCTGCTGCTGATGCTGGCTGGATTAGGGGAGGAGGCGGCAGTGGTGGCAGTGGTAGCGGTGGTATTGTTAGTGGTGCCAGTGGTGGGGGAAGCGGTGGACATGGTTGTGTGAGCGGTGACAAAGGTGGTGGATGAGGGAGAGGGGGGTGGTGTTGTGGTGGCGTGGGTGACTGAGAGTGACGAAGAGGGAGGAGTGAGAAAGGACGAACCTAGAATTGGGAGTAAAGGAGAAGCAGCAGCAGTAGCACCACCAACACTAAAACCACCACTGTCCTTACGAGAGTTTCTCACAATCTCAGCATAACCAGCAGCATTAGCAGCAGCATTTGCAGCAGCGGCAGCAGCGGGGGCGGAAGCAGGTCGGAGAGCAAGGGCAGGAGTATTGGGCAAAGAGCATTTCCTTTGCTGCGTGCACTCTCTCACCCTTGCAATGAACTCACGATACCTCTCCTCTTGATACCGCTCCTCGTGATACCTCTCCTTCTCCCCTTCTTGCTTTCCCTGTTCTGAGCCTGCAGCGTTGCTTGCTTTCCCTTCCTCCCTCCACGTCGCCATCTCCTGGTTTCTTAGCACAGATTTTTCACCCTCCCCCTCCGAACAAGGAGAAACAAACACACCACAACCACCGCCTTTGCCATTGCTACTGGCGCTGCTGTTCCCGCTTCTATTCCCGCCACCATAATCACTATCAGGAGCGTCAACACAAGCAGCGGCAGGAGCAGCATCAGTGGCAGCAGCGGGAGCAGCGGGAGCGGCGGGAGCAGGAGGAGTAGCAGCAGGAGCAGCATCGGCCACACCTGTCCCGCCACCTTCTAACCCACCAGCGACTCCATCCCCTCCCGTTCCGCCTTCCGCCCTCGCCTCCGCCATTCCCTCCCCATCGCTGCTCCCCTCCGCGCATGTTCTTCCCCCCAACCTCCCGATTCCGCCGCTGCCCGCTCCCCCGCCACCTCCGCCAGCCACTCCGCCGTTGCGCCCCCCCAGTCGCGGCGTTGCGCTGTGCTCTTCCCCGCGCAGCACGCGGTACAGCTCCGCGTATGTATCTAGCCGCGACACCACCCTCTCTATATCCTCCAGAAACGCGCGGCTTCCCCCGTCCCCGCGGCTTCCCCCGTCTCCGCGGCTTCCCCCGTCTCCGCGGCTTCCCCCGCCAACAAGCCCCCCCGCTCCGCTAGTGCTGCCTGCGCGGCTGGTTTCCCCTGCGCTGTACATCGGACCTGCGCTTCCCGAATATCTCTCCGCACGGCCCCCTGTATGTCCCCGCGCACGGCCCCCTTTCGAATCTCCGCTCATTCCGCTCTCGCTGTAAGTGGCAGCTTTCTCACCGGCTCCGTTAGAAGCAGCCTCGGTTGCGGCTGTGGCGCCACGCTGTTTGAGCGCCGCGCTGCCGCGATACTAATTAGGTTTCCAGAGGTCTTGAAACAATAGAAGGGAAGTCGTACGCAGCACGAGAAGCGCAAGCGCTGCTTTTAAGAACAACAAAAACTCTAGCAAAATGAACAGCCAGGGCAACCTGTTGCGGCCGTCAGGTCAACTAAAGGATTCCGAATCGCAGAGTGAGACTACCGTTCCGAATCGCAGAGTGAGATTTGCTCTAGTAAAGTGAAGTGCGGGGGATGACGGCCCGCCGTGCCGTACATTAGCGTTAACCGGAGAGCTGGGATAGCAGCGTCAGGGTATGTCATGTGAAGCGGCGAGACACAAGGTAACAGAGCCACCCGTGGTTCAGGTGCTTCGCGGAGTCATCATCAAACACGGCAGCGGCTTTTCGAAGCGTACTACCAGTCAGGTAGTCACTCCGCCATTAGTAGAGCGCAAACCGGGCAACAACGAAGCTTCGCTCTCTGCTGAACCTGACTCCGTCCCGGCTCAGTATTTCACCACGCTTCCCAACCTAGGCTTAACCCAAGAAACTCAACTGCCCATTTTATTATATGTACGTGCTCTGGATAGGCTGACGGGGTTTGCGGGAGGCGGCGGGCGTGGAGCGAAAAGCTTCAGTGCGTTGAGGGAGAAGTACGGCCAGTTGATTCCGCCCCCTTCCTCCACCCGCCTCGCATTGCCTTCCCTGCTGCTCTGCGGCACCACCCTGCCACAAATTTTCCCGCCGCCTTTCTCGTCAGCCCAACAGTCGTCCTGATGCTGAAAAAAAACGCGAACACACTGGAATTCGTCGACGTCGTCAAGCCCGGACGACAATGGATAGCCTCCTGGCGAATCCTGAAGGATATACCGGGTAACTTGTCGTCCTTGCGTTCCTTTTCCAGATTTATACAGTAAAACCAACCCGCGCAATTACTTTCTGGCTTCACGCTGTAGGGCGGCCTGTCAGTCAAGAGAGACCCCCTCGGACCCTCAAACAAGGTGTGCAGAGCCAACCCTGTAATAAGTTCATTCGATATTATTCGTGCTCCGAGGAAAAATGATGTGATTGAAACTTCTCAAAGGTTGGACTCTTAGGGCGTGACTCCATTTTGATTTTTAGCAAATTTGTGGACGGTCCACTGTTCGTTTAATCGGACCGTCCATATAACAAGTATCGGACAGTCCACATTGACCATTCTAAACTTTGAACCGTACGATGCCAAAAGTGCCACCACCACTACTGTTAGACGAAGTACTGTTGCTGTTGCGATCAGAAGTTGATCGTAACCAGGATCGCCTCAGGAAGGTTCACACACTTCTAATCTAGCGGTGGTGGGTCCTTGACCTCAATAGCAGAGTGAATGTAAATGCTTGAGATGATAAAAATATGCAATACAAGGAATATAAATAAGAGTACAAGGGAATTCGAAACGATCTAGCTAGCCATGTACTCTAAGGGGTACATTCCCTTATTGCATCGAAATCCAACCGTGCGACTCCGGGTGGTTACGAAACCGTTCGGGCAGAATCATCGTCACTGCTGCTGCCTGATGCTGTCTGCCCGACGGTCCAGATGCTTCTTGTAACCGTGTGACCCTTCGCGTCATTTGCGCCCTTTCATCTTCATTCTCGGTAGTATGTGCTTCGATTGCTGCGGAGAGGAGTGCACAATAGTGTTTTCAATAACCACTATTCGTAACACCCCCCTTCACTCCTGGCCGTAGCGAGCATTGACCCGCTTGACTACCCCGCTGAGTTCGGAGCAGTGCTGGTACTGCTGACGCGGTAGTTTCTTCGTGAGGAAGTCTGCTTCCATGTCACCTGTCGGGCAGTAAGTCAGGTCAACTTTGCCTTTGTCAACTTCGTCCTTGACGAAGAAGTACCGTAGTGCGATGTGCTTGGTGCGGTTGACGAAGCCAGGTTTGTTCGTGATCCTGATCGCGCTCTGGTTGTCGCAGTGCAGGCGAAAATTCGCTGAGGCCGGGATTTTCGCCTCCTGCAGCAACTCCTGAAGGTAGAGACCTTCGCGAACAGCCGCTGTTGCTGCGATAAATTCTGCTTCTGCTGATGACAGGGCAACCAACTCCTGCTTCTGAGAGTTCCAGGAGATGGGGCCGCTGGGCTCGAGGCGGAAGAGGAATCCTGTCCTGGACCGTCGATTGTCAGGATCAGCGGCGTGGTCGGCGTCCACAAAGCCGACGAGACTGAAGGACGCGGTTGGGATGGTGGAGTAGCTGAGCCGTACATTGGGTGTGGAGATGAAGAATTGAAGGGCTCGCTGAAGGTCCGTGAGGTTCTCAGCCGTCGGTTTGCGTGAGTACTGAGCCAACTGGCTCGTGATGTAGGAGAGGTCGGGCCTGCAGGTGACAGATGCAAAGAGCAGGCATCCCAACTGCTGCTGGTAGGTGTGAAGCCCAGCAGGGGACAGGGCTTTGTTGTCAGGCTTGTGGTTGGGTCCTGGAGTGCAGTAAGGGGTGGAGAGTGGTACAGGCCCAATGTTGAAGCGCTTGCTAAGCTCCTCTGCATACTTTGCTGCTGAGAGATGAATGGCTTCCGGCGAGTAGGTGATGTTGAGTCCGAGGAACTGCTTCACGTCATGATTGCAGGTGATGTCGACGCGCCCTGCGAGGCTCTTCTCAAATTGCTCGAGCAATTCATTGCTTGAGCCTGTGTAGAGGAGGTCGTCGACGTAGACCGTGAGTAAGATGTATTCGCCGCGGAAATCGCGGCGATACATCCCAGGGTCGTGAGGCAGCTGCTTGAACCCGATTTGAAGCAGTATGTTGTGCAGGTACTGCTGCCAGAGTCTCGGTGCCTGTTTGATCCCATAGAGGGACTTGCGTAGCTGACAGACACGTGGGTCCCCGTCACCGTATGTGTGCGGCTGCTCTACGTAGATCACTGCATCTACTAACGCGTATAGGAACGCGTTCTTCACATCAATCTGTCGGAGCGGCAGGTGTCGTGCGGCTGCGATGGCGAGGAGAATTCTAACAGACGTGTGACAGCTAACCGGTGCGAACGTCTGGTCGAAGTCGATTCCGTGCCTCTGGTCGTAGCCTCGCACCACCCATCGTGCCTCGAATCGCTCGATCGTCCCGTCAGCTCCTGTCTTCACGCGGAAGACCCACTTGCCGGAGAGGATTCTTCTCCCCTTTACTGCTGCACGGTCGACGAGCACCCAGGTGTCGCGTGACTCGAGTGCCTGGATTTCCGCATCCATTGCTTCGCGCCACTCCTTGCTGTGAGGTCCCGTGAGAGCTTGCCGTGGGTTTTTAGGCTCGATGATGCGGGGAGCTGTGGAGACGGCAGTGTGAAGTCCCAGTAGCTGGAGACCAGTGACGGTGCTGTCGTGGCGATGTTGGGTGACGACTTCCTGCACGTCGTCATCATCGCTTTCTGGTTCAGGTGGCGCTGGTGGTGCTGAGCCTCCGCCGTTTCCGCTTCCTCCTGTTGCGCCTTCTCCTGCTGCGCCTCCCGTTGCGCCCGCTCCTCCTTCTCCTGAGTCATCGTCGTTATCGTCGTCGTCGCGACGATCGCCCCTCGTGAACTCGCCTCTGGGATCCTGCTCCACAATTGCTGCTGCGGCTTCGTCCTCAGGTGAGGCGTAGCTGTGACCCTCGTTGGCGTAGACGCGGTTTGCGTTCGTCTGCTCATCTTCGCGAAATTGTTGGAGGAAAAGCCGCTCGTAGAAGTTGACGTCGCGCGCATTCTTGATTTTCTGGCTCAGGAGATCCAGGATGATCCATGCTTTGTGTTCGTGGCTGATGCCGAGGTGGATCCCCCAGCGCGCGCGGCTTTTGAATTTCTCGATGGTTGATGTTGGTGGGCGGTATTGAACCATGCACCCCCAGACACGGAGCATGGAGGTGTCGCCCTTCCTTCCCGTCCATTTCACATGTGGCGAGGAGTTGCCGGTGATCGCGGTGTTTGACAGCAGGTTGTGCACCCGCACGGCGTGGTGCATTGCGTAGGTCCAGTAGATCGGTGGTAACTTTGACTGCCTCATCAGCGCCCGCACCTTCGTCATGAGGGTGCGATTAGTGCGTTCTGCGACGCCCTGCTGCTGGTGCGCGTAGGGGAGAGAGATGTGGTGCTCGATCCCCTTTTGCCCAAGGTAGTCTTGCAGCTCCTTGCTCCTGAATTCTGCCGCGCCGTCGGACTGCCAGATCTTCAATTTCTCCCCTGATTGCCGCTGCGCGTGTGCCAGCCACAGGCGGAATGCTTCGTAGGCTCAGCTGCGCGCTTCCACGTTTACGACCCACACGTGGCGCGTTCCGGCGTCGACGAAGGTGAGTGTGTAGAGCTCGTCGTTGGTGCCGCAGTGTCCTACGTTGAGAAAGTCACTGTAAACTTTCTCAAGCTTGGCGTAGCGTTTGGTTCCCGGCTCGAGCAGGGGGAAGGGCTGGTGACTCAGCGCAGCTTCGGGGCAGATGGTGCAGGTGCGCGGGTGAGTTCCGCCTCTTACTTCGGAGCCGTTAGGACGCAGCAGTGCGCCAGGTGCGAAGACGCCGGCCTCGATGCAGTTCTTCAGGGTCGCGCGCGAGGGGTGACCAAGGCGTTGGTGCCAGATGGTATCGTCGGCGCGGAATCCGGAGGTGCGCATGTAGCGCACGAGTGCTTCTGCGGGGTCTTCGTCAGGTGCTGGTGCAGGTGTAGGCGCTGCTCCCTCGTTCTCTTCTTCTTCCTCGTTCGCCGTCGTTAGCATGAGGGCGAGAAATTCTCTGTCGCGAATGATGGAGTAGGGGATGTTGGTTCCGGGGATCGTGCCAGGGATGAACGTCGGTTCGCGCGGTTCAGGGGCAGGTCCGTAGACGGTACGACGCGGTGTGGATGGCTCATTGCCC